TTCATATTTAGATTGTTTGAAATCGTAATCAGTTATATTTATTGGTTTTATTATTGGAACATCAGACATAATAAAATAATATTAAAGTTATTTAGAAAATATTTTATATTTATTATTTTATATGAATAGAAGTTATTCGGATTATATTGATATAATAGATAAAGTAGAAAATATAGAACAAGTAATACTAACTGATAATAGATTTAAAAAAGTATGCTATTTTGTTTTAGAATTAATTAAGTTTGTGATACAATATATTAAAAATATAAATATTAATATAGATGGGGAGAAAGAAAAAGAATAAGACAGAATCAGTTGTTTCTTCAACAGATGAAGATAGTGAAGAAGTTATTAATAAAACAGCAGTTATTGAGTTTGCTTGTCCAATGTGTAAAAAGATGTTAGAAATGAAAAATGAATTAGAAATTCAAAAGAAAGGAAATTGTAAATGTTCGTGTATTCCGACAAGTTTCAAACTAAGTAAAAACGATAAACGAATAAATATCGATAAAACCAAAGACAGTATCAATTTAGAAACAGATGTTCATAATATAACTTTTAAATGGGGTCGGCAAGCATCACCATCCGATAGTGGCGATAAGGAAACTCAGGAAACTGTTAAACAAATGATGAAAAAATAGTATTTAAAGAGTAGATTTAACATAATTGCAACATTTAGTTTTAAAAGTTTAGTTTTATAATTTAGTATATATGGAGGAACATTTAGCGAACATTGACAGTAGTTTAGAGTTGTTGTTTCCAAGATTAGAAAAAGTGTTGGAGCAAAATGAAAACATACTGAAAATCTTAAAGAGCTTGAATATTAAACCTACATATGATAACAATAACAATTATCAAGCAAAAGAAGTAGATAGAGACAGTAGCGAATACAAAAATAAACGAAACATTTATGTTAAAAAACTGAATGAAAAAATCATAAAAGAACCTAAACAATCAAGTCTGGATTACTATCAAGTCAAGTATAAAGAAGACACCAAGAAATACGTTTAATCATTAACTAACAAAATTTCGTGTCTCAAAAGCGGTTTGTTTATTTCTGCTACTTTGTAAGTTTTATTACCCATAATATCATATTCAATTTTATCGATATTGAATATTTTATTAGACCATTTAGAGTTATACTCCTTTCTGTCGGTGTAATTACCCCTTTTCTTTTGAAACACTTTTACCTTGTCGTTCTCCACTATTCTGGGATACTTTCTTTTGTTTTTTTCTCGTAGTTTAAGATTGACCTTTACATTTATTTCATTCTCGTCCTTGTGTGCTTCAGACGGTGTCATCCTTGTTGATGAGTGAGATGTGCTGTTATACTGTTTCAATGCCGGCGTTAGGGCGTCGGTCCATTTCATGTTGTTAAACCTAACTCTATCGTGAATTTTGTTTTTCATCGTTCTAATAAAACGCTCGGCCACATTTGCGTGGGTCTTCGTAACGATGTGGTTTATTCCTTCACTGTTGAAGAAATCCTGAACGTGATTTTTAGTTGCAAACGCTCCGTCGTCATCAGAATACACGGACATCGGATAACCCATCTTTTTAAAGCTTGCTCTCAACGCCTTCAAAACGTTCTCTCCGTCTCTTTCCTCCATCGGTATTACATCTGCTAATTTACTGAAGATGTCAATCACGACTAAAGCATACTGTGGAACGTTCTTGTCTTTTGCTAAAGGAGACATATGCATTATGTCTATTTGATATTCATATCGTGCGAATGGAGCGGTATAGGAATTAGTTCCTCTATAATTTTTGATTTGTTTATTTGGCTGTTTCTTTAAGAAAGACTTTACATCGTCTAATGTTATTGTTGGGTCTTCTTCCTTTGCCTTCTTGTGTGTCGCTTGTGTGCTTCCGAAACCCTCGTCTAAGTCGTAATAGATGTTGCTGATTATTTGGTCTTTTGTTAATCTCGCCATTATATTAAATTGTTAGAAAATATTTTTTCAATAAAAACCCCGCCCCTTAACATAAAATAAAAAACTACTTAAAGAAATATTAACTTATTATATTAAGTGAAAATATGACTGAAAATGTCGGAGTGATTGCTGACTTATCAAACTGGGTGCTATCAGACGAAGAAGATGATGATAATGACAGTTATAAAAAGGAATTAGATGACGAGTTAAACAAAATAAAGGATTTCGTCAAAAGACACCCTTTGCCATCAGTTGATGAAAACGAAGAATTCTGGAAAGATGTTATTAACAGGTTTAGGGATAATAGCGGATTAAACTTGATGACAATATACTCATTTGTTAGGTTTGACATCATGAAAGAAATGTATGAAAACCTAACAGATGAAAACATCATAAAAGACTGTGGTAAAAAGTTAAACCGAGATGGGCAGTTTAATGCTATGATTATTAATCACTATATCTTATCGGGAGCGATACGGAAACTAAACACAGAAGACAGTCTAGTAGATGGACAGATGCGAATTATTGAATTCTGGTGGGATGGAATAGGTGGATGGAAAGCGTGAGTGATTTAGTTTAATGATATTATTCAATTATAATATGATTAAACCTAGTTTTTATAATCTAACAATGAGGTTAAGACATTTAAATTAAACCTGAAACCCAGACCAGCCGACCAGCAACCCCTAGCCAAAACTACTTAAAGAGAAAAAGCCTTATATATTAAGAGAAAAATGAGTAAGGGTAAAATGTCAGAGAATAATTTTATGGATGAGAATTGCGCTAGCTTACCTGAAGGCTTAGTTTCAATCATCACTACTTACATTAATGGTAGTGAAGGGTGGCGAAGACTGAAACAATGTGATGCTTTAAGAGAATTACAAAGGAAATGGAAACCGTCTATTTACACTGAACGAGTAGGAGAAAGTAGATATTATGTTGAGATTCGCAATAAATGTTTAAAAGGTGATAAAGCGCTTTCATATGCGTTGAAACCACCAAAAGAATTATTAAGAATGATGAAGTATGATGAAGAAATACAGGTTGGAATAGTAGTTAGTTCAAAAATTATGTATAATAATAATATTTGCAACAGTCGTTCTTATTCATCATCTAAACAGAATAAGATTTCAAGTAGAGCGTCATTACAATACCATATTGAACAAGCAGTTGAAGAAACCAAACAGACTATGAAACGACACGAAATCATTACTATCGAACATGTTGCAATTGAAATTTATAGAAAACAGAAACAATGATTTCATGGCTTAATCATAATATTTAATTATAATATGATTAAACAGTGTAAACTTTTATAACCTTTCATTATACTGTAATTTCAACCTATAAAACATAACTAGACAATCACATAAAAATCACATAAAAAGAAGTTGTTAAGATATATTAAGAAATGGTTGTGAAGCAAACTATAATGAATAATTATGGAATGACAGAAGAAAAAGCAACAGAAGACTATGGTGAATTCTTCAAATGCAACAGATGTCTTTATGATAAAACAATTGATGAATTTGGAAATGTAAAAAGTGGAAGAAGATATAAATATTGTCAAGAGTGTAGAACAAAAATAAATAATTGTAGAGATAAACGTCAAAGAAACAAACGACCCACCAACACCCCAGAACTTGATAACTACTAAAAGGGCTACCTCTTTCAAATGAAAAAAATGTTTGCCCCCAGCCCAACAATGAACAAGGCGACAATTTACCCAAATGATTACCTTAACGAAAACGATAAATAAGCTCCCTAAAAACCCTCTTTTAAAAACGAATAAGGGGGAACATAGATTTGAGATGAACATAAAAACCATAACAGGCAACCATCAACAGACCACCCCCCAGGCCCCCTACTTTCTCCATTTTTTGGGGGGGGGGGGTATGTAGGCGTTTTCTCAGGCAACAAGGTCAGGTTGGTGGTTTGGAGCTAAGGTGGGATTTGGACCCCTGGTTCCTGTGGGTAAATGGGAAGCTACCCCGGAGCACCACAAAACCACCATGTTCCACACCAATCGGAGGGAAGCTGATTTTTCGATGCACGGTTGGCATGTGAAAAAGGCTTCTAGGTTTTCTGGTTCTGTTCATTTTTAGTCGGAGGAGGCAAAGGAACCATGTTTTTGCCATCAGGCTTTTCTCAGCTGAGTTCCTGGACTTGAGTCACTTTTTGAGTTTGGACAGTTGTGGCAAATCAGCAGTTCATATTAGTTTTCCAATCCACTCCGGAAATGAGTTTTAGGTGTTTGGTTCCGTTGATTTTTAGTAGGGGCTGCAAAAGCATACATTTCGTTCTACCAGGTTTTTCTCACTTCCTGAGTTCCTGGATTTTAGTAAACAGTTTGGACTTGTATGGCCAATCCATCAGGACATGAGTTTTAGGTTGCTGGCATTTTTTGTTTTTAGGAGCTGCAAAAGAACAAGCCCTACCATACCTTAAGGTTGGACAGTCAAACAAACATCCCCTTTTGGTTTCCCTTTGGGTAGATTTTTGAAGCACTCTGGGGAGTATGTCTCTTTCAGGATTTGGACCCCAACACGAAATCATTGGTTTTCTGTGTGGTTTCCCTTGAAAAAAGAAAAGGATCGCCGTGCCTCAACAAAAAAGACACACCCAAATCTGGCTGCCTGAAACCACAACTTTGTTTCTCTTGAAGCGAAAGCCAAAACTAGATCGTGTGAACAGGTTGATTTGGATGCCTGTTCTTCCGATATTTCTTACCCAAAGGGGAAACCAAACGACTCCAGGTAGACCAAAAGTTCGGTGACTTGTTTTACTCCCCGTCCACTCGATCGCCCGCGGTCTGCCGCGCTAGGTGCAAAGACGAGAAACAAAGCAACACCCGGCACGCCCCCAATCGCTGGCAAATGTAGGGGGGGTTCCCTTTGCATATCCAGCGTCTCCACCTTTTTTCAACAGTCGCAGGCCCTCTGACACCCAGCCGCAAGCTGAAGCAACCCCCGTGCCAGACAGCTCACCCAAAGCAAGAAGTAGTAAGACTCCAAGTCTTGGCTACAGGTATTGACTCCGTATCCCTGGTGACCGATCGATCGGGAGGAGAGCTTTGGGGCGCTCAGCGGGTCCTTCGACGGGTCTCTGCAGCTGTGGGACGTGCGCGATGACGCGCCCTCCAAGAGCCGGGGGCCCCGAGCGGGAGCGAGTCGAGTTGATAGGCAAAACTTTTCTGATAGTCGAGTTGCAGATTTGACCAGCATGTTTGCCCATGAAGCATGAGCGAATGGGTCATAGGATGTAAGGCGCCCCCCTTAAACATTTTTCTTTTTGGGGGTGGGGGTGGTGTCAATAGCAAGTTGATGGACTTTACTCACTTGACTCACTTGTTGGGCTTGGAAAATTTTAGTGGCAAACAAGAAGTTTGGTTATTTGAGTTTGGATCCAGTCCACGAGAAGTTTACCTCAACATGATATATACCTTGGATGCTTTCGGAATCCATTTCGCACCGTTCAGAAACCCAACTTGGCATGGTTTGATTCCCAAGGTGAATACCAACCAGCCATGGTTTCAACTTTGGTTTCAAGTGGCTGCGAATTTAAGGGGGGGGGATTCCCCTCAAAAGTGGTTGGACGTAAACCCTCACCTAAATGATGTCCACCAAAGAGTCCATAATTGAAATTCATTGCCAAGTGGTGCGAACGGATTTCGTCCACCATTCAGAAACCCAACTTAAAACGGTTTGATTCGCCAACGTAAATACCAACCAGCCTTGGTTTCAACCTTGGTGTCATCGCCATATAAAGTCTTCTTTTGTAGGATGGGTAATTGTGGATGATCTCGCCCATACACAATTCCTCCATCCTTCCAAGCCCGGGTTTCATTTCGTGCGAACGGATCTCGTCCACCTGGAGTCTCCTCCTGGCCCTTTAAAATGGGTCAATGACCACTATTTTGGGTAGTGACCAAACATTTTTTAAGACTCCAGGTATGGTCAAAACCCAAGAAGCGACTAGAGTCCCAAACGGAACTCGTGGAAAAGGGTCTGGAAGAATTTGGCAATTTGTTCAATCACCCACCGTTTGGTCAGAAGGAGACTCCAGGTAGATCTTTTCCATTTATTTTCCCAAAGGGAGCCCTATGCTCAGTTGTTCAGTGGCACCCCTTTTCCCTCTTTTTTTTGTGGCTCCCCCAACCCCCCCCAAAAAAAAACGGCCTTCCCCACAAAGTGTTCCCCTGTTTTTCCCAGGGTCACTGAAGAACTGGAGTCTCCATGACCCTGCAAAAATGGGGTCAATGACCCCTACAACTTTGGGTGATGACCCACCATTTTTTCAGGGGCATGCAAAAACTCCAGGTACTGCGTTTCCATTCAATTTTCCCAAGGGGAGCCCATGTTTCAGGCCGGGCAAAGACTGGAAGTCAGGAGGCTCCAGGCATCGAGCGCAGCCCTCCCACGCCTCAGGCTGGCGCGGGGCGCCGGTGAGCGCTTTGGCCTGCGACCTGGCGCGGCAGCTGGCGGTGAGCGGCAGCTTCGACGGCCAGGTGCAGCTCTGGGATTTGGACGCCCGGCCGCCGGGGGGGCTTCGGCTTTGGATTTGCCCGGGATGAGGTGTGCATATGTCAATTTTGGGGGTCTTTATGGCTGGGTTTTTTAGGGTTCTCCTACTAAACCTGCAGCGTCAAGCGGTTACTTATTCTTGTTCAATTGGGACATCGACTACTTTTTCTGGAAGTGGCCTTCAAAACTGGTCGTTGTCACAATCGAGCAGTTTTCTGAGAAACGAACACTTTTTGTAAAAACAGTGCTCTTCCTACCTGTGAAGCATTTTCGGGGCAGCTGAGCCTGCGGCTCTAGGCACCGCCTAGCTTTGTTGCAAACCCTAAATTTCGTGTCGTTAAGAAGTGGAGCCAGCACAGGGACAGGAATTGGAAGCAAGAATTGGCCTTTGGTCTGACCATTTGCTGTTTTTGCGCAAAAATGCGCCCCACAAATGCCGCAAATCGGGCGCAAAAACCCGCAAAACGGACGCAAAACCCCGCAAGCGGACGCACATCTCAAAAAGTGGTCAAATCTAGATTTGCAGGATCACACAAAACCAGCTCTGTTGCCTCATCAGCTGGCGAACCCCAGGGTTTCAATCTAGAAGTATTGTCCAGGTAGGGCAAACAGATCATCACCCGCATGGCAAGCCAGTTGCGGGCCGTCCATGCAAAACAACAGCCTGCAAGGATAGCCACGACCCTTTTCCACAGAATCGGTCATTTTCTTTGCAACTCGGCCCAACCGGCCCATATTTGTTCAGTCGGCCAGAAAAAGTGTGACAAACCACATCGAGCAAAAATAAGTGTTCAAATGAAGGTGCAGGAATAGACTACAGCAAAAAGGGTACCCTTATTTGTATTATTTTTGAGTCTTACAAACCAGAAATCATGGTTGGTTACCTACATTTGGGCGATGAACGGATTTTGGGCACTTTTGGCAGCTCGGAGTTCCTGAATTGGACCAACAAAAAGTGTTCTACTCTTTGCAGAGAGGTCAACAGCAGCCAAGGAATGGGCCTAAGTCTAGAGTTTTGAAGGGTGCGCTAAGAACGACACCTGGGTTTGCCTTTTGCAGGTTGCCCCTTGAAGGCAAGTGTTCGAGCCAATCCACTTGGTTGATGGTCCTTACGCTTTGGAATCTTTGTTCGCAGGGTGTTCCTATTTTAGACACTGGGGGCCTCGGAGCATGGGTTAGCGCCTATATTATAGGAATGTGCCACTTCAGGAACTGGAAGCGCCTCTTTGTGGTGCATCGACGATGAGAATGTTTAGAACTGTACTTTGTTCCGTGTGTTGAAGAATGTGTGCAACCTAATCTGTGATTTAGTTGGGGGATTCCTCCCTGCACATGGTGTGTTGGATGTTGGCCCGCCTTCAAGAAATCACAAGTTTTTAGTGCCGAGGAAACCCCCCCTGCTATTTGCCAACCAGGTTGGCTGAACAAATTGATTTCCCCTTGTGGTGATGTCCCACGGGCGACAGATGGAGATTGTAAAGCCCCCCTCCAGTCTGATCAATCCAAGCTGTTGATTTCTAGTTTGCATTCGTATTTCAGTTTGTTGCCTGAGTTTCCCATGTCAATCAGCTGTTGTTCGATTCGTTGGGCAATCCACTTTTTGGACTTGGCACCCTTTGCAGGTCTTAGTTTGTCAAAGCGGAAACCGCAGTTTGGCTGCAATATTCACGTAGCCCTTAGTTGGTGGTTAGGATTGGTTTGGGGTCTTGAACCCCTTAACCACCAAGCCACCGGGCTCCCAAGCCAATTGGAAGGAAGCAGATATACGGCCAAATGGGAAGACACCCCGAACGTCCAAACCACCAAACCAATCCACCAACTGATCTTTCTCCGTCATTGGTGTTTGGTTGAGCATGTGGTGGTTTGCCACTAAGCAACAAGGTTTCACCTAGATCTTTTGTTGCACCAAAGAGATACCAACGGGCCTGGTTGCTTGAACAGCCTTTGATTTAGGGGACTTCCCCCCAAATGTGTGTTTTTCCTATTGGTTTCCCTACAAGGAGGTGACTCCCCAACTTGGTGCTTGTCCTGCTAGCTTTCCTTTAACACCGCTAAACACGTCGTTGTTTCGTATTCCCATTTTACACCCAGTCCTGTTTGTTTATACATAATTTGACTCACTTCCCGTACTATTTTATTTTATAGAGAAAGATAGAGTGTACCTTGGTAGTGCTGCTTAAACTTAAGACCTTTTTGTTATTTTTTGCGTACCAACTCAAAAAAAATCAGCCACCCAGATCTTGCCCCATCCTCCAAGATCGCGGCGACTAAAACGATCGACAAAAAACGTCTCAGGAAGCCTCGACTTTCAGCGCCTGCGATGAGCGACACTGCGGCGCCGTGCGGACGCTGGTGGCGCACTTCGAGTGAAAAGGCGAAAAAAGCGAAAAAGGTCCGCGGCCAGCCGGGGGGGAGGGGGGGGGGGGTTGATTCGGGGAACTGAGGGATTTGGATCCCAAGCACTCCCTGCATTCAGGAGTGACGGTCACATGTTGGTGTGCATGTATATATACATATGTACAAACATATATGCAAAGATTACCTTTCTGGCTTGTGTGGGTCAAGCTTGCACTCAAGGATCATGCCTGTGGAATCCTAGAAACCATTTGGAGCTTAGAACTTAGAACCTATTTAGGGTCTCCCAATTGGCGACCGGTGTTTCCCAGCGATACCTTGTTTCGGGACCCGCCGCCACCTTGTTTGAGGTCTTTGCCGAATTGATTTTGCATCGATCAAGGTTTACTGCAAACATGGCAAGGGTCAAGGATATCATTTTCGCTTCTGGGGCAACAGCTGAGGCGGATGTCCAGCCTGTTCAGAGGCAACCCGTTTGTTGTTTCGCAACCAACAAAAAGCCATTCCAAGAAAAAGGTTCCCTGCTGCCACCTTTTCCGTCACAACTGGAGGGAACCAAGCGACCTGATTGCGTTCCCCTCAGGTCAGGAATCGATGATGCAGCGCCTGGGCAAGGCCGGCACTTGGGATGAATGGCTTCACAACTGGTTGATCAACCTACCCGGATGTTGGCCATGACCCTTAAAAAATGGTTGGTCATTAATTGCCCCAAAGTAATGGTTGGTCATTGACCCATTTTCAAAGGGTAAGAAGGAGACTCCAGGTACACAGATGTTGTCCATTCCCCCCTCCCCCAGCCGCCATGAGATACATGGCGGTGGGTCAAATCCGTTTTGGTACCATTTTAGAACCTGTTTTAGTGATTGGGTTGAACCGGATGTTGACTGGGGGCAAACCGATTTGGCTTTTGACCCATGGCCTTGTTGTCCATTCCGAAATTCCCCTTCCACCCCCCCCCCCTTCTCCGCTTCCCTCCCTCCCCCCTCCCCAGCATTAAGCTTTTGACCCACGGCCCACATCTTTGACCCATGGCCACGTTGTCCATTCCCCTTCCCCTCCCCTCCCCCCTCCCCCCTCCCCCCTCCCCCCTTCCTTCCCCCCCCAGCCATGACATCTCCTCGTAGGTCGGAAACGTCTACTGCCTGGGCCGGAAGCTTGGGAGCGGCTCCTTCGGCGAGATTTACTTCGCGGTGGACTCGCAGCGCCTCGCCTGAGTCGGCTTCGGCGGAGCCAGAGGAGTCGAAGCCCATGGGAACCTGGAGTCTCCTTCTGACCCTTGAATGGGTCAATGATCAACCATTTTTTTGGGTAATGACCAACTATTGTTTGAGGGTCAGAAGGAGACTCTAGGTAGTTCTTCAATGTTCTTCAGCTACTTCGGTCGAAACATCGCCATTGGCTTCGCCATTTTGGGGGTCCCCCTTGCCAGGTTTGGGGTCAAAGGAATGCAACCAGCGTTTAACATGTCGTTGTTTTTTGATTTTTTGTTCAGGTGGCAAACCCTTTACAAATGCTCAAACAAAACGTTTCCAGGCGTCCCGCCGCCACAAAGGGGGTGGACATCTTGGAACCTTCAGAAGCTTTCAGTAACCAAGTACTATGCAACCCATGTTGCACGAAACCAAGCCAGCTCCACAACACAACCATTCGCTTGACCCTGCCGGCACCCGAAGGCAAAAGGGGATAGGGCCGCAATCAAAGGGTGTCCTTTGTAGGTTAGTTTGGTTAGAAGTAGATGGCACGGGTTTAGATGGCCCTGGTAACTGGAATAATCTATTTTACCAAAAGGACACCTATGGCCGCGATTGCCCGAATATCTCGCAAAACCCCCTGGCGTAGATTGGTTTTATTCCACTTACCAGGGCCATTTGTCAGGCTTGCTTTGCAAAACGCAGAGTGAACACCCTGAACGAACCCCAAAACACGCAGAATATTGAACCTCAAGCCCACCTTGAAGCTAAGCACCTTGGGTGAAGTTCGAAAACCCCTCAACAACTCAACGAACTCAGCACTTATCAATTCTGGGCGTATCCCTATAGCGATGAGTGATCTCCTGGGCTCGATTCAAGCAACATGAGGCATGCAACTACGCGGTATGACGCAGAATGGAAAGCGGAATGTCGGCGCGCGTCAAAATGTGTTGTTCCTTTCGGTTTCCCAGAAAAATTGACCATGCCTCTTTCTCAATTCAAAGCGAGCGAGGGTTGCCAGGAGCAAGTAAAATTTGACCAACACCCAGGCTTGACTTTTGATATTGGTCTTCCTTGAGATCAAATGGCTGTGTGTCAAATCCGTTTCGGTACCATTTGGGGTAGGTACACCACCCATTTCAGTCAAACAGTCTAGTGGTTGGATGGAATCGGATGTTCACTGGGGGCTAACGGGCTTTGGATTTTGAAAAGCCCATGGCCAGATGGATCACGTGAACCAAAACGGCCAAAACGGGCCATGTTCCTCCGGCCTTGGCCTTTTGGATCTTTTCGCCTTGAGCGGCCGAGAAATGACTCGGGCAAGTCCTCAAGAGGCCTCATGTCAGGGTCATTGATGTCAGCCAACTTATCCAGCATGGGCTCCGTCAATCACAGCCCTTAGATGTCCGTGAAGCCCACGTGTTTGTGTTGGCTTTTGCTGGCACCAGGGCGCTACTTGCTGTAGGTTTGCACGACTCTTCCATGGATGTTGAAATCCAAGTCGCGTGTCATATATATATATATACACACATGCAGGAGCCTTTTGCTTCTTCCCTTCTGACAATTGAACATCTCTGGGGTCTCCTCCATTTTTTGTACATGTTCGGGCAGACACAATATGGAGCAGAGTCAGAATATATACATTGTTGGCCAAGATGAGCTGTGGATTTCCAATCTCACCGGAAAGCAACTTGCTCATGTTTGCGTGGTTGTGCGCGCAAAGGACAGGAAAGGAACTGGCTGTGAAGCTGGAGCGAGTCGACAGCAAGCACCCTATGCTCCTCTATGAGGCTCGCTCCCGCAAATGGCGGCATTGCCATGGATTTGCCGATTTTAGGGCGAGCTCAGAAGGGGGGGGAAGAAGCTCACTTGCCTGCAAATTTTGAAGGGTTGTCCATTTTCCTCATGTGCCTTGGAGGGTGCTGGCGATCCCATATTTCAGGTTTTTAAATTATTAGCCAACTTGCAGCAATTCTCCCAAAGAGCCAGCTAGAAAGCCCAGAAAGGAGCTCTGTTGGGCATCCAGTTTTGGACTCGACATGCATCGACATGCGGGGCAACGCCCAGCTTGGTTCGGAAGTTCCAACGTGCAGTACAGCTTTTTGAGCCGATGGCCCTGCGAAGCTATAACTAAGCCTTGGAGACCCTTGCTCTCTGGAGATTGCATGATCCAGACTGGGTCTGAAGCTCATGTGTCAAAGGATTGGCAATTTGGAATCTTTTGGAATCTGAAGCAATTCTCAGGGAAAGCCCTCAAACCTGAGTACCTACGTTGTATTTCCATATTGAAGGTTGGCTCAGAAGAGTTTTATTTGTGTGCTTTACGAAAGCCTGCAAATTTGGTTTCGGAGCATCCACGATCCACGAATAGCGAGCGCTTGAGTTGTGGTTTGTTTATAGGACACGAGGGCATGAGACGCACACGGTGAGAGATGTAATACCCCATGGGTGCACACCCCATGTCGTCTTTGTTTGCAGCCTCGGTTCGACCTTCGTATCACTACCTTTGACATTGTTGAGGATTTTGTGTCCTTTCTGTGGGTTTTAAAGGAAGACCAAAACCGCCCATGTTTCTGCTTTTGTTTTTTTGAGGGGTGACCGGGGTCCGCAAAGAGGCTTACGCAATTAGCATTTGTGTAAGAGTTGCTTCTCGTGGCAACAAAAAAAACGCTATGTTCCAAACCGCACCCTGAAGAGGGATTGTACTTCCTGCGCGTCCTCAACGTTTCAAGCGAGAGAATCGAGCAAACGCTGCTTTCAGATTATTTTGCCCTAGCTGTGTTCTTTGGCTTGTCTTTGGTTTCCAGGTGATTCCCGGCCACCCCCCCTTCCCCCGAACACGTGTCTTTGGTGCATTTTGCTTGGATGTTAGGACCTTAACTTTGTGCCAACTAATGGGTTTTCCGAATTAAACCACTAAAAGTTATTCACTTTTAGCAGGGGAGCAGAGTTTGCAACCGCGATGTGTTTCCCGGAGTTTCCCATTCCCATCCGTCCGTTGGATTCGTGAGGCAAAGCTGCTGAAGCACTTGGAAGGCGCTCCAGGCTTTGCATCGGCAGCTTCGGCTGCGTTTGAGGTAAGACCTGGGCGTCGCGCAAATCGAGCTTTTGACCCGTGGCACCTGTTGAGGTGATCACTTTTGACGTCCTAGCACCTAGCTTGCCCTTAAGTTCCCCTAAGTTTAGTTTGCCCCTTATTGTCATGGTCCCAGGTGATCACCTTTTACTTAGTTGCTTCTTTGGGCAACAGAGCAGACCATTCCACTCCCGACGGCTGTGGTAAAAAACTTGGGGCCACTGTGTGTGATGCCACGGAGGTGGACTTTCTTGTGGGTGATTTCGCAGAACCGTGCCCAGCAATCATGGAAGCTTACAGAGACTTTGTAGCACGTGCCTTCTGGGAAATGCCTTTGTCCACTTTCATTGGAAAGAGTGTAGGAGCAGGCAACTTATTTTGCTGTAGCACACTGTGCGCACCAAAATGTGATGGCCCGTCTCCAAGAGCCTTTTGTTTAAAGGGTGTGTCGTTTTTTAGGAACCCCCCAAAATGATGGTGTTCCTTTTCATTTTCTCGTACAACCAACCAAAAGGGGGTTCCCTCAAAAAAGACAGCCCCACTTCCCCGTGACCTCACCAAACCCAAACAAAACAAGTCGACATTTGGTGGCTGGATCGACATGTGGTGCATATCTTTGCCCTTTAACAGATGGTGGTAGAACTCTTCAAGAATATCAAGTTACAGTTTGGGAGGAGCAAGCTGTGCATTTTTGGACCAACAGGGAGTCATGGGTTGAAAGAACCAGAATGAGCGGACCAAATGAACTTGGCACAATATGTTTCTTGAGAGCATATGGGTCCGTTCTTTCTTGGAGGCGCGGTACTCTTTTTTGGTTGGGCAATAAAGAGAACCACCGAAATCCATGTGGGGTCCAAATCCGATTTTAACACATACCCATGAAGACGGATTCTGATTTCTTGGTTTCAATCAGTTGGCAATTCATTGTCATGGATGTCCTGATGTTGGGCAAGCCAGTGGACGGATTCTGAAACATGCGGACGGCAAAAGCACAAGTCACGTCCTGTTGAAGTGCCAAGCTTCTGGTCGCCAGTCCAACTTGGCCGCGTGAGGTATACTTTTCGGACACTCAAGGCCTGGCAATCGCTCGACAGCCCGGGGTGTCGACGGAAGACGTGCTTTTCCAGTGATTCGCCTTAGAAGGAGCCTGCAGATTTCCAAGGCAACCCTAAGTTCCCATGACCTGCTAGGGAAGGCTCAGCCATGAGGACTTTTCCGTTACTTCAGGATTCGCCAGTCGCCAGGGGCTCCTGAATGCAGGCTGGTGAACAATGAAAATAACAATTAGTGCGTAAGTAATCAGTGCAGATACGGCTTCAGCATGTTGCTTGACTCAGACCTAAGTGGGATTCAGATATCGTAGAGGCCCGGGTCGCCCCCGGACAAAAAACAAACCGAGGCCTAGTGGTCGGGCCCCTGTTCTGCCTCAAGAGGCCAAGCAATACCCTTGCTGGTTCTCAGCAGGGAAATATCTCTACTGCTATTTGGGTTGGATCTTTACTTCAACTTTTTGGATTCCCCTCATATTTCCTGTTAACCAGCAAAAAGTACCCAAGATCCGGGTCTGTCTTTTCTTGAGGGTATCCCTTTTGCTTGGTTTTAAAGGGAAACCAACAAGAATACCGACACTTTGCGCATTTTCTCTCCCACACACAGACATACCCTTTTTTTTTCGGGAATGAACCAACAGATCTTGAAGAGAGCTACTGGTTCAGTTCGGGCTGATTCCTACTCATTCCCTTCCCGAACCAGTCTCCAACTTGGCAGGTGACTTTAACCTAATGGTCATGGACCTGCTGGGCCCTTCACTGGAAGACCTCTTCAACATTTGCAGGCGGAGGCGCGGCGGGGGAAAAATAACAAGTCTTTGGTGGGGGATGTCAGTGACCTGGCTGAGAAATGGCTTGTTTCGGATGTACCCAAACGGAAAACACGAGGGGATGGGATTGGTGCTGTTGTTTTCCGGACCCCGGAGACCCACACCCAGCGTTTTGTTTGCTTGGGGAGGCTGGCTGCAATGTCAACCCAATAAACCCCTCTAAATCTAGAGGTCCGCTTTGAGCTTGTGGCGAGCCGATTTTGGGAATCCAGATTCTGCCAAGTTGCCGTTTGCATATTAGTGCCACCATCATTGGCACAACCTGCTAATGCAGTTTTCGAGCAAAAAGTACAAGCACCAGCAAACACGCCTGAAGGAATAGCAGATCCAAGTAGAACACACATTCCACATGATAGAAAAGGACAGGCAGCACCGTTGCAGCGCTTGAAAGAGACACGTGGCAGATTCTGTTCCACAGGAAGGAGCTGGGTCCCATGATATTGCCAGCAGGCTTCGAAGCATCTTCGACATGTTAGGTGCTTGGACTGGAATGACTGGACATGAAGCGTTATCCCAAATTGCAAGTTCTCTCCTTGTCTCCTTAACTCCTTCTCTCCTTCTCTCCTTCTCTCTCTCTCTCTCTCTCTCTCTCTTCCTCTCTGTCTCAGTTGTTCAGTGGCACCCTTTGTCCCTTTTTTTGTTGGTGGCTCCCCCACGAAAAATGGTCTTCCCCAAGGAGGGTTCCCTTTTTTCCCAGGGTCACTGAACAACTGAGCTGTTGTTCTCTGAATTTGTGATGTTAAGGTTTCAGCCTGAACTCAATTGTTCAAAGCGAATCGACCTTTTGACCTTTGGGTTTTCGCATTTTTTCTCATTTTGGTCCATAGACATGGTCCCAAACAGCTCACCTTGTTTTTCTGGGTCTCCGGGGCCACCGAGTGGGAGGAATTTCGGAGCACATCTTGCTCGCCAGGGAGGCGTTTCGACATATTCACCACTCGCCCTTTTTTTGCGTTTTGCTTTGAGAGACCTGCGCCCACTTTCTCCCATGTTTCAATGAAGCCGGCAGCAGAGCTGAATTAAACCGGATCATGAGGTTGACGGTTTCTATGAAAGTCGGAGCTTCTCTTGACTGCTATTGGGCAACGGATCTTTAGAGTTTAACTTTTGGGTTGAAATCACGGATTGGATTTTCCGAACTAAACCCCCAAAAAGATCCACTTTTTGCGGGGGTGTCGTAGCAACCAAGTTCTGGAGTGGCTTCCCTTGAGACCACTCAACGAGGGTGACTTTGAGAAAAGTCATAAAGCAAGTTGTTCAGCTGCCAGGTTCAGCCTGAAGACTCTTCTGATGCTTGCAGATCAGATGCTTTATCGGAGCCCCGGCTGGGGAGCATCGAATCGGTGAAAAGGGGAAAGGCGCCTGAGGGGTTTCAATTTGGAATCCACGTGTCCGCATCAAGTTCACGCATGTATGTTGTGCCTCGGGGCGAGCCCATCACACATGCTGGTTTGTTTGTTTGTTTGTTTGTTTGTTTGTTTCTTTGTTTGTTTTGTTTGTTTGTTTGTTTGTTTGTTTGTTTGTTTGTTTGTTTGTTTGTGTGTGTGCTGCGTATGTTTTGTTTTTGGTGGGGGTTCCCAAAATGAAAGGCTTGTGGAAGACTTATACATCACTCGCAATGGCGCTTGAAGTTGGCCAGGCCCAAGCCTGTTTCGGCCTGCCACTCGTTATCAGGCTCCCTTTTGGCACCTGCCCAAACAGCAGGGCTCGCATATGTCTCAGTTCAAAACGGATTGACCTTTAACCGTTGGGTGTTCCATGTTCCACTTTTGCCAACATTTTGTTTCTAGGTGATTTCCCTTTCATCGCGCTATGCCTCACCTCACCAGGGGTGAAAAAAAACAGTTTCCTTTCCCTGGGGTGATGTTCAGAGGGGCCTTGCAGTAAGGACCCCCGTGGCAATCAGTTCTTTTGTCGCGTTTGGCGCCTGAGGATCGAGTACCTTCACTCCAAGGACTTCATCCATCGCGACATCAAGCCGGACAACTTCCTCATCGGCGGGAGCAAGAAGACGCATTTGCTCTACATGATCGACTTCGGCCTGGCCAAGAAGTACAGGCGAAGTCTTTCCGAAGCTCCGAAGCTCCGATGTCTCGGGGCTTCTTGTGTCAGTTTTCTTTTTTTCTGCTTTTTCTTTTTCTCTCATGAAGAGCCAGTGAGTTGGCTGTTGTCAAAACCGTTTTGGGATCCCATTTTGGTTGGTAGGTGAATTCACCACCCTTTTTGGAACCTATTTTAGTGGTTGGATTGGGCTGTTCACTGGGGGCACGATTTGGATTGTGACCCATGGCCACTTGGCTTTGAATGGGAGTTGGTGGTTTGCAAGGCTTGGGTCACTTCACATTTGATTTCAAGCTTCAGGCGGGCGTGATCTTCTAAACCGATTTACTCTGGGTAAGGTACAGCTGGGTTGAGTGAATGTGCATGGCGCAATTCCCCATGTTGGTTTCACTCCCTTTGCCCACCCAAGCAGAGTTGTGCCATGTCCTTTTACTCACCTTTTGTGCTTTTTCCATTTTAGAGCCAGTGTTTGGGGCTGATTTCCAGGAAGGCAGAGTTTTGGCATACTTCTACTTTGGTGTATTTGATTTGTGTGTTTCCTTTGCGGCAAAGATTGAATCGCGCCAGGGATTCCAAGTGCAACCACATCCCGTACAAGGCGCCTTCGCTGCGTTGCGCCTTTCATTTGCGCCGGCCGGGGTTGAACGAACCTCCCCCGTGGCTTGTGCATAGCTTGCTCTTGTTCTCTTTGGCACAGCCTCAGGATACACGAAACAAAACGCTTCAGATTCGGTTTCGCTTTTCATCAACCCCTAAAATTGTCACTTGCAGTCAGCTGACCCAGCTGCCCATTGGAAGTGGCGTGACTCCTCTGGATGAAAGTTCGTCAACTCTTGGAGGCTCGAATCCTTGTCTCAGCTACTACATTGCAAACACAGGGGCGAAAAATGCCACAAACGTTTTGAAGGAGCCCATCAGTTTGGAACATGATCCAGGAACCGCTCCTCCCCCCCCCCCCCACATCGCAGGGTGAAAAGGTGATGGCAGAATTCCCGTAAGCCGTAAGGGGATGGCTGAATTAAGTGGGGGGAATGCCTACTTTCACCCAATCGGCATGAAGAGAAGAGTTAAGCGATGGGTTTACAGCCTGGCATCACCCCCTCCCTCGGCTTGCGGCAAGTGGTGTCTCTGTGGGACACGTGGCGCCCCAAATTTCCGTTTCCTTGCGCCTTGCGGCTTTCCCTTGTACCATCAACATAAGTCGACTAGCACAGACGAGCGGCCAAGGTTTTTTCTCTCCCCATGGGTGTGTCCTTGTTTGTGAGGGTGCCAAGTTGGGGGTGGCTTTAAATGGAGGCTGCAACCCACTTGCCCACTAACGTCCGTTTTTCCCTTATTTTGGGAAGGGTTCCTCCATTGAACTCAACCAAAAAGGATGCCGATTCTTTTTTTCCCCATGGCCACTAAGCATCTGAGTATTTAACCCTAAGCTGATTGGGAAACGCCTAGTTTTCCACTACCCTAAGCATTTGGGGGGGCCTTTTGTTTCGGGCCACACCCAGCTCTGGAGGTTTTTGCCCCGACTCGGCTTTTCGAGAAGCCGAGGACAACAAGAGCATGACAGGAACGGCGCGCTACGCATCGGCGGGCGGCCTAGGAAAGCTGGGGCGGGCGGATTCCATATCAAGACCGTTGCATGTTTAAGAAAAACAAACATGTGTTTTGTTTTTTTGTGTGTGTGTGTGTTGTTGTTTATCCAGTTTTGGGGACGCAGAGCTCCGATCAGTAGCTCCATAGCTCCCTCTTTAGAAAATTTGAATACCCCCAGCTCCCAACCACCGGCGAGTTTAAGGCTAAGCTATTGACTTTAAGAGATGGAGCCAAGTGAGAGATGGTGGCCACCGAATTTGGATGTCCACCAGAGCGTCCCTTCTACAGCTTTTGTTTGCTTTTGTTAGCGAGACGCCCTTAGTTCTCTTTTTGGCGTTTTGAAACGTCACCTGGGTATGGGTCAAAATTAAACCAAAAGGAAACCGCAGGTTTTAGTCTATGTTACCACTTACCAGGGCTCCATTTTGTGTACATATTTTTGATACGCAGCCACCTGTTGAGAGTGAAATTGTTCTTGAGCCGTGCTGTTGAAAGGGGAGCTGTAGGGAACCCAAGCAATCCGATTGCAGTTGCAGTTCGGACTTGGAATGGGCATGCAATGTACTTGGGTCATTTGCAACATCACTTTAACCAACTGCTTCTACCATTTCCTTTAGAATTCTTGTTTTCCCTTGTTGGTTTGGATGGGAATCCATCACCAATTTTGTTTCTCGGTCCATAAGCAAGTGAAGGATTCCGGTCCTCTTGGAAAGCAGCTGCTTTTGGTAAGGCACACGTGTTGGGCCATTTCTTCAAGCCTGCATGATACTGTGGATGGACAAATCCATTTCGCATCACTCAACCATGGCTGAAACCAGTGCTTGTGGGTGTTTAATTAAAGGGGAACCATGAATTTAGGGTTTCTTAGGTGGTGCGAAATGGATTTCGTCCACCCACCATATCAGAGCTACATCAATTGAATGGGGTTGTGGGACTTGCAACCCAAGTTGAGTCATGGAGGGGCATAACGCATTCAGCCCCCTTGTGCCAGCCTAGGTGAACGCCCACAGAGGCATCGAGCAGAGCCGCAGGGACGACATCGAAGCCATCGGCGCCTTGGCTCGTTTGGATCCCAAGGCCCCGGGGCCCGGGCATGTTTGTTCCTTTCCGATCATACCACCTCACTTCCTGAGTTGGTGGACTTTAAACTTTTTGGAAGTGGTAAATAAAAAGTTCAAACTTTTTTTGGCCAGTCAACTTGGGAAGTGAGTCACCCAAGGGTCCAATTGTGGCTGCCTGAGCCATTTTGGGTAGAAATGGACACCCTTTGGGCTGGTAGGCTCCTTTTGACCTTTTAGTTGCCCCTTTTTGGCCAGCATTTTGGGTGGCCCCAAATGATCCTTGTATGGGTTTGGGCAAATAAGTTGTCCCCTGCTAAGGGATCTTTTGCCCAGAAAGGCTCCGGAGTGGTTTGGTCGCAGGTCGGTGTTGGGGCTCACTTAGATCCCATGCTAGGAGGCCGTGGATCAAGAAATCCCGCTCCAGCAAAGCTGTTTGTGAGTCTTGCCGTTCCTTGGTTGGATTTCCTGTGGGGCCAATAAAAATGGGACATCCTTTCCAACGGCCATTCAACAGGTACGGAGTGCAGGGAACCCAGCATGGGGCAAAAGTCGCGAGCTGTTGGCAGATGCGTGGTGCCAGTCTCGGCTGACTAAGTTTGACGCTTTCCGAGGGACAGCCAAATCCAGTGGCCCAGAAAACTCGTGCTGCAATGTGGGTGGCTCGTATTTTTAAAGCTTGGACCCAAAACTGGTTTCGGTTTTCCTCTTACTGTCCATTTAAAACCACAAACAAAGGTACCAACTAAAAAAAAAGAATCACGAGCCACCCGCGTAATCTGAATGTTTGCCGAACATCCCATGTTTTCGGGGGACCCTCACCTACACGACTGGTCGAGAAAGCAGTTTACAGCAATAAAAAAGAGGCCACAACAACTTTACCAATGGAGCCTTTTCTTCAACTAAGTATTTAGTATTACTTGTGGGTGGGTTCAACATCTCCTTACTTTTGCTGGGCAGATCGCAAAAATGAGCAGGAGTTTGCCCTTCTACAAAACAACGAGCAAGGGGCAACCGGGAGGTTTCCCATCGGCCAGTTTGGGTTATTCCTTCATAGCGGCCAAAAAAGGGCAGCGGCTTTGACACACAAGGCATGGCAGAGTTTCCTGCACAAAGTCTTTGGCTTACAAGGCTCCAGCTTTTGGCTGACTTTGCCTCCAAGCTTGACTGCTTCACATAGCACACTGCTTGCCCGGCTGAAGGGCAACGTCCAAGTGCGGTAGAGACTCTCGGGCAGAAGTGCCCGCGGGGGTCATGCGTGGGCAGTCGCCGAATTCACCCTCAGCAGGGAATGACCCAGGGCGTTGGGAATGAACCGGGAAGGGGTTCCCTTATGATCCCCCATCGAACCCGCAAGCGGTTTGTTTCTTTGGGGGGTTTTCGAAACCTGACACCCTCCCGCCTGAGGCTACGTTCTGATCTACTTCAGTCGTGGCCAGCTCCCGTGGCAAGGCTTCCAGGCGGCCAACAAGGAGGAGAAGCCCCTTGGACCGGAACCTTCGGGTGCTGAAATCCACCCAAGCCCTGGGTTTTTGGATGGCTCCCCTGGAAAAATCGCCACCAATGGCGGGGAAAAAAACGGTGCAGGGATTTGTCCATCCACAAGTATGGCTGGTCCTTGGTGCCAAAGGCCGAATTACGACCTTTTGGACACGAATAGTGGTGATATTCCATGAAACCTAGGAAGCCAAGCGGGGAGAAGCATGTGTTATTGGCTTTCCTCACCAAAACGACCCAGATTTACTGTGGATTTGGGGCCCTGGAGTGTGGATGTGTTCCACGCCTGAAGGGGTTTGCTGCATTGGCTTGGTTCCGTGGAGATCCGTGGAGTGAGTAAAATACGCAGGGTGACATTGACACTTGCAAGAGGAGAAGCAACACAAGCCATCAATCGCCAGAGACGCGAGAGATCTCTCAGGGCTCAGAACATAGGTGTCCTTTTTGGTGGTTTTGTTTGAAAAATAGATGGCGATTCCTGGTGTACCTGGTGGTTTTTTCTCATCTACCAGGGAAATCCATCTATTTCCAACCTAAAAGGCCACCTATGGCTCAGAATCTTTGGGACAGATTCAAAGCATCGTGGCGTCGAGTCGGCCTCCAGGAGGCCGCTAATGTTGATGTCGGGCAAAGGCTTGCACCTGGAAAGTCGGACGGCGACCATCTTTTTCCCATTCAACATGGGCGGAATCCATTTTGCACGAGATGAAACCAAGGCTGACGCTGTTGTTGGTTGGCATTTGCAGGGGAATCAGAAACCAGGGCTTCTTAAGGGGCGCGAAATGGATTCCGTATGATTTCGTCCAAAAGGATGCGGAATTTCGTCCAAATCAAAACTAAAAATTAAGCCCAGGCTGCATCCCAACAGCCCCTGCAGCGACTATTTGAGCCAAGACACCCTAGCTTTCAGCTGGGGGAAAAACTTAAATCACGAAGCGACGATTGGCGGCGGTCTCTCCAGTGGGCCAGTGGGCTTCTCTTGCAGCCGTACCCAGGTACCACAAGATCATGGAGTGCAAGCAGTCCACATCCGTCGACGCCTTGTGCAAAGGTGGCTCAGTCCGCAAATCAGGTGTTGTAGGCTAAGTTTAAAGCAGAAACTGAATATGATACATATATATATATATACATTTATATAGATCAGCAAGCGGGCCACTGCTTTTTCGTTCGGGCACACTCAAGACATGGAGTGGTTGGAGAAAGTCTCAAGAGGCAACCCTTGCGCCCCTTCCCTTCAAGGGGCCAGCATGGCCAGCTGTGCTCCAATGGACGGAGTATTGGCCATCCCTTTTCGAGGGCAAAACGGAGATCACCCCACATGGATTTGAACGTCACAATGCTTCTGGGAAGCGTGTTTTGTTTGGCGCCCGTCGTTGTTTTTTGTCATATCCGCTTAATGGATCTCATTTGGCCGCGCTAGGTGCAAAGACAAGAAACAAAGCAACATCCAGCACCCCCAATCGCTGGCAAATGTAGGGGGGGGGGGTCCTTTTGCATATCCAGCGTCTCCCCCCTTTTTTAAAGCACAGTCGCAACCCTTCTGCAGACACCCAGCCGCAAGCTGAAGCAAACCCCGTGCCAGACAGCTCACCCAAAGACAGAAGTAGTAAGACTCCAAATCTTGGCTACAGGTATAGGTGTTGACTCCAAAGCCAAGGACATGCCCTCCAAGATGTGACGCGGTCTTTGGCGTTTCAAACTGCAACACTGTATTTTTAGCGCTTTTGTGTTGGTGTTTTCCGGATTGTTCAGTTCTGGCAGGTGCCAGGGTCCCTTTTGGGGACGCCCCAAGCTGGTCAGTCTAGAAGCCAGCGCAGCAGTCAGCATGCGCAGAGCTGAGGAAATGCTCTTGAGGGTGTGAGCGGGTTTTCGCTCATCATTTGCCAGTCGTGCGCAGTGCAGAGCTGCAGAGCGAGCGCGCTTGAGCTGGTGCGCTTATCATTTGGCAGGGCTGTGTGCAGCGACGGGCAAGCAGGACAAGAGGCTTCAGGCAATCAAACCATGGCGCGCGTGTGCAGGGGGCGGGGGGAGGGGGGTTGGGTCGGGGCGGAGCCCCAAACCAGCAGGATGCCGATCATCCCATCCACACATACACGGCGGCACTCGGAAATCTGCTGGCACTGGCTCGTAGAATTCAACCACATGTTCAATCTACCCTGGGGGGTGCCACGATTAAAACACTGGAGGTTGGGGGGAGGGAAAAATTTAACCTTCAAGAGTTTCACACACTTTGGGTCCTTGCCATCCTTTTGCAAACCCTAAAGAACGAGTTTCGGGGACCCAATGAACCCAATGCCCAAAGCCCAGGCTGCCCGTCGGTCTTCGTCTCATACATGAACTACGCTACGGCCAATCGCCCAGCCGGCCCACAGGAGTTCACCCCAAGGTTTGCCGTTTTTGTTCAAGCGAGGCGACTGATTCTCTCCAAGAAACATGGGATCCCCTATGAAGAAAGGAAACAATCTAGTTCATCACCCTGCCACCAGGGTCTTGGCTTTTGGCATCAGGAGATTACAATTGGCGGCCACCATGGCCGCCACACTTTGCCAAACTGTGATTTGCATGGAGCAACAAGCCCCACATAGGACCCTTGCCACAAAGACGCGCAAGCGAGCCCGAACTTCACCGAGTTCCAGGACTTCAAACTGTTCTGGAAGAACATCCTAGTGGTAAACAGAAAGCTTTGGATTTTGTGGCCCAGGGAGTGAGTAACACGTTGCCAGATGTTGCCAGCCATTTCTCAAGTCCACGGGCCTTCAAGAGCTGAAAGAAACGACATCTCCCGCTTACGACATCTCCTAACCATGGAGTTGGGGGCGGATAAAACCCCTGGAATTGATGGGTCAGCTTTCCTGGTGGAACACTCGCGCTGGGGGCTTCCAGGCTTCAAGGACCTTTTGAGCGCCTGGATCCAAGGGACCTTGAACTCCGCAAGGGCCCCGATCGGCGAAGCTCGGAAATGCAGACCAAGTGGATCCCAGGTCTATAGACAAGTGGCGGTGGCTCAAAATGAAACGATCGGAGTGGCAAACCGCGGGTCTTGGTCCATGTGTCCGCTTACCAGGGTTCCATTTTGGAATTCCGGTTTTTTGAGCCACGGCCAATTGCAAGTTAGAGTGGACATGGATGGATCTGATTGTAATTGGTTTTTGAGCCCGTTCTAGTTTACGATGCCCGGTTCCTTCACGGGCGAGCTGATTTTTGCCCGAGCCTGCCATGGAACGGACATATTTAATGCGCACATCCCTCAGATGGCCCCAAAGGAAATGGGTTTGATCATCGGACATTGGCTTCTGTACACTCTTGTGGGGCGTGGTTTGGGGCAAGTGGAAACTTAGACAAGCGGCTCGTCAGGCTGGCCATTGCTTTTGAGAGACTCGTCAATGCATGTGAATGGAACTGTTCATGGGATGATGTTCAAAAGGCTGCGGAAACAAAGGAGATCCAAAACAGGACAGGGACTCACTCAGTTGCCCAAAGCGAATCGACCTTTTGAACTTGTGCTTTCCCCTTTTTGATCCATTAATCCTGGCCCCCAAAGGTTAGCCTTTGTTTCCAGGTCCTTTGGGCAAAGCTCAGGGACCCTTAATCATACGGGCTGGGCGGGAGGGAGGGGGGCCCAAATAATCCCTATTTTAGGCGTTATTTAGGGCTTATTTGGGCTCCCTCCCCCTCCCCCTCCCTCCCCCCCAGCCCCCATGACTTAAGTTCGGTTTGCAGCTTCAGAGCGAACTGGAGGCTTTGAGATTCGAAGATCGGCCGGACTACAGCTACCTGCGACGTCTCTTCAAAGAGCTGTTCTCCAAACAAGGCCCATGGGACCTGACTCCAGGGTTGTGGGATCAAGGGGTTTCTCCCCACTTCTGCGACACAAGGGAATCCTCCTTTATATGAAGAAAATAGTCTAGGAGTTTCTCCCCACTTCTGTGATACAAGGGAATCTCCCCCTTTATATGGGCGGTTAGTCTTTGGGGTTAGGCCCTTTCTGTTGTATCACAGAAGTGGGTTCCATTCCCCACAGCCCTGGACCTGACGAAATGGATTCCGTATGAAAGAAAGAGGAAATTATTGTAGAATCATTCGGCCTATTGCACAGCTTCAGGATGCTTCAGGTGATTTGGAGGGATGAAGCTGACAAGCCGCTCCATGCACTATACTGAGTATTGTATATATACATATATATATATAATATATATATATATATATTAGTATATGTGTATATTAATATGGATATTGTAGTTCGATTCTGACGCACGGCTTTAGGGGCCAAACGCACGTTGTTTTCACATTGGAGGACCTCTGAGGAATACCGACGTGCAAGATTCAATAGCTTGACCTAGGTGTTGAACGGCTGCTTAACCCTCAGTGGCAGGTTGCCATATGATATGTTTCTTGGAATGTAAAAAATGGTTGGAGCTCCGTCCATTGCCCGCTTTGCCATATGATCTCCGTTGGGAACTGCTCGCTGCCCGAATGGTTCATTGAAGATTGTCCCAGGTGAATTTCGCGCTTTGGGCGGGCATTTGCCGAGAAGTGTCTTCCAGGGTGACTTGGGTGGTTGTTACCGAGACGTGCCGTTTTGGACCAGCTGGTTTCCTTTTGGGGTAAGGGGCCTCGAGTCCACTTCTTTGCTTTGCGCATTCCATGGTTGTTTGCCCTTACGCATATATAAAGGGATCGGACGAAGGAACATGTTTCTTTGGGGGTTTCTTTGGCTCTGAAGGGTGCCGGTGCACAATGCCCAGCACGCCTCTGGAACCTCTGCCGGGCGTCCATGACATTTCCAGGCACAGGCCGATCAGCAAAAGCTACGACCGATCAGGCTTTCAAGCTTACTTCACTGAAAACCGGCTTCGCTGCACCTCCCCTAAGGGTCATGACCCCTTCAATGCAGACCCCCGAACCCTCCAATGGAGAACCCCGACCCCTCACGGGCCCTGAAGCACAGCCCAGTTTGAGGCGTCGGCATCAATCGGGACCCTTAGGGTCCACCATTTTGCGGACAGGTGCCCCCACGAAATGCGGGGCCACCTGTTGAAGTTGAGTGGATCATGGCTTTGGCAACACTAGGTCCCCCAGTAGTGCCCTTTCACCGTTACTTTTTTTTGGGGAGGGCAAGCCCCTACTAAAATAGACTACAGCAAAAATCGGGCACCCTTATTCTAACCTCTCTACTGGAGGACCTAGAACAGAAGCTGGGGCTCCTCATTGCTGCTCTTATGGCAGGTCCAGCCGATCCATTCACCTGGTGCTTTCGTTTCGCCCCACTGAAGCTGGTCCATGTGCTTTGCCTCTTATTTTTTTCTGGGTATTCGGTGGTCGCTTTCCAATGCCCAAAGCACGGTTGTTGCTGGGAAACATTTTACACTTTTGCTTGTTGTGGTTCAGTGGTTAAAGTCCAACCACTGAACTGCCAAAATTGAAATTTTTGCCCCCCTTCCAACGTCACCCAAGAAAGGCCCGCCCAAAGCTTTTGGGTTTCGGAGCCAGCCGGATTCGGAGCCGGAGCCAACCGTCTCGGGGTTCGCGGAGCCGAGCCAGGCTTCGAGAACGACGGATTTTTCGACTGGTCCCAGCCCGCTATGACGGAGTCCGTGAGTTCCAGCCAATTCAACAAGCAGGCGCGCGCAACTCGCGCTGTGCCCCATTTCCGCTCCTTCCAGTTGCGGAAATGAATCAAAAAGACGCGCTGGTAATGTTTTTTTTTTTTGGATTTTGCTGGGGAAGTATCCGCAAAGGGAGGACTCCCTTGAAAATTGATTTGGGGAGGGGGTTGGCTGGCGTTTGGAATTGAGGATCCCCCGCCGCCTTCCACATGTCGCGAAAGAGTGCCAGCCAAAGCCGAAAGAAGCGTGTGTTTTTGAGTTTGCTTGTTCTTGGGGGCTCATTTGTGGACATTAAGACAAAAAATAGATTCCAGCTGGAACGGCACGTAAATGTGCGTACCTTGGGTCTCCATAAGAATGGCTCAACGACCCCATTTTGGGTAATCACCTCATATCTTAAGGGTCACAGGAGGCTCCAGGTAGCATCGTTCAGGTCTCTTTCGGTGCGTGAGCCGCCCAGCGAGTTGGTGAGTTCGAAGACCTCGGGTTTCGGCCGGCAGCCTTGATACATGTCCTTAGTCAGGGAGAAGGACCCCTAAGTACTTGGTGGTTCGCCATCCGGTTCCACCTAGCTTTTTAGACCTTTCGGGTTTAGTGGTTGGGTTTCCGTATTTAACCCACTAACAGTGAGTCACGTTTATGATCCGAAAGCGGACAGCCCAGAGAGGACGGTCAGGAGGAATCCGAGGTTCAGATGGTGAGAAACTGGGGGGTTTTCTTCTAAGTCTACCACTGTGACTTAGATGATGGTAAGGTAACATATCCAGAAAGGAACGTGTTTAACCCCATCTCCAGAAAGGGGGTGTCACCCTTGGAGAGCCGTTTTGGCTTTCTGCCTGCCATTTCTCGGGTGGCTCGGAGCTTCCGGGAAGCCACCCCTGTCAGCCTTGTGGTTTTTTTTTGCGGGCGGATGGGGAGTTTTCTTTTGTGGAGTCCATTCCCTAAAATGCTTCCTGGCAAAAGGGCCCACCATTTTTTTTCAGAAGCCCCATGTTGCGTGCTTTGGGCCTTCCATTTTGTGTGTCTTGGGTATGGGATTTTGATGCTCAGCTCGGGGGTAAAGATTGAGGCCCGAGTTTGTTCCCTTGTGCAGGTCAGGGTTTCACAGCTAGGGAAGTAACGGAAGGCCAGAGAGAATGCCAAATTTACTTGGTTTTTCATTGGACCCGCAATCAAAACGCCGGGAAGTGTTTAGATACGCAGGTCGGCAGTTTTAACGATGATACAGTTACAGTAAAGCCTTTTTGATAATTTACATGGATTTGGGCAGGCCACACGTTTTGATGACTCATCATGTCTTCCGTTTGAGCACTCTGTCTGGTGTGGTGGATTCCTCCAGTGGGAAAATCGGGGGCGCTACAAATGGCCGTGAGCCTTACCCAAGCTGAAACGGGTACCCAATTGAAGCCGGCGATGGATCGTTTCTGCAGGCGATTGAGGGCAAGGATGAGAGCCCGAACCCGAACCGGCGAAATCCGGAAGCCGGCAGCGGCCTAAGCTGATATTCCGATGGTTGAAGTCAGGCATCCTATCTAACATCCCGGTTGGCTTTGTGAGGTGCTGGATTGTTGTGATGCAGGGCTGGCGTTCGAACAAGGTAAACTCTGTGCGCATAGTTGTCTTGTTGTGTTCTGACAATCTACCAGTTCCATGCATGTATAGGTTTCTATATTTGCCTAAGGGAATGTAGCATCCACAAGGGACCTCGTCGTGTTTTGGTTTATGTTTCCACTTCAAGAAGCACCCACATTGCTCTCTCACCTCTTCAATCGAAAATTGGAGGGGTCTGCATGTTCCGTTTTGTGGAAGAGATCCCCAAAACACGTGATGACTTTCCGGAATGGGAGAACTGGGGCTACAGATGGCCAGATGTTGCGTGGCTTCATGTATTCCCCCTTTGGTGGCTAGCATTATCTTTTGGGCCAAGCCCAGAGTTTGGTTTTGGCGTGTCAGGGACATAGTTCTTTGCCCTCTGGTTCACATGGATGTGCTTCCTTTTCCCCAACCCGGGTAGCTGTAGCTGGGGTAGCTGACTCGAGTTGAGGACGGTCAGTCCTTTTTTCCATTCAGGAACATCAAGCAGGGCTCCAGGATGAAAAGTTTTCGTAGCGGTATGCACTGCTTTGAGCCAATGGAAAGCCAGGCCCTGTTTCGTTTTGACACAAAAGAACCTCCCTTGGCAGGGGCAGCTTCGCTATAGACCTGGACTGAACTTGGTTTCCAGATGAAGACCAGGAATGGGCCCGGGTCATGGAGTCATGACCCCTCCAATGCCCCCAATTCCTGGGCTGAAAAGTAACCCATGAGGGCCCAAAAACAATTTGGACCAGTTGGCAGGATGGATAATTCAGGCTTGCACTATTTGACGCCCAGTTTGGCTTTTCACGGCGCTCATTCGTTGGCTCGGCCACCTCCAGGCGTTTTATTGCGCGCACCTGGAAGTCCTTTCATTGTTGAACACATGTGGTTTCACTGTCTTTGGGATCTCATCATCTACACTGTGGATGACAGCAAATGGCACACTTGGCCGAATTTGAGCAAGTAAAGGGGTGACTAAACTTCATGTGTGCCCATCTACTTTGTGCCTTGGAACTTGGATTCTCACGTGTTTCAGGTTCTGCGAGTGAACTCTCTTGGCTTCCCTTTCGTGGGAGGAGCCTTGGGGAACGTAAGTGTTGCCCGGCACAACTATCCGCAGGCTCCATTCCGGCATTCTTTTCCGGCGCAAGCTGCACATGCTCCCATCCCCAGTCCAATTCCTCTCTTAACATAAGGAAAAACCGATCATCCAGAACGGTGGTTCTCAGTGGTCGTGTTCGCCCGGGAATGGTGGAAGGAACATGTATTCTCGATGACACCCCGAAAAGGACCTTTTGGTGGTCGTCATTGACGGAGGCCCAAAAGAAACCCCACCTTGAATAAAGCCAGCTGTCACACAGATCCAGGCACTTAAGCAGAGTCAATGCCTATAGTTTCTCATAGGGGGCTTGGTAGAACCCATTTGGAGAGCTAACCATGTTAGACCCACCTGGCACCCACGTTGGCCGTTCTCGCCGGGTACTGTGAGGCAGCAAGCGGGAACGGCTCGGTGACGATAGCGGCCCCAACGATGCTCGCCTGGAACGCTCTTATTTTGGCTGCTATTGGGTTGGATCTTCCATGTATTCTCCCGGGCAAAAGGATTCAACGCGGGCAGCCATCATGCTTCTTGTATTCTTGAACACCTAAGCTGCTTTCCGTTCTTTTTTAGGGATCGTGGAGGCTGTTTGGCGGTGGCCAATAAGTTGAAAGGTGTGTGCTTCGTGGCTTTGGGATTTGGGAATGTGGGTACCCCAGATTTCCGTCTCTGAAACCTTGGCGCGGCTTAAAGATATTTAAAGATGGTCGGCGGTGACACTGGGTACGTTCTTTGACAGCAGAAGTTGGCGAATTCAAACCAGACCAAGTTGTGATGAGCCTTGTTTCAAAGGCTCACCAAGCCGCAGGTCGTTGCACTGTGCTTTTTTCTGGCTTCGATTCTTTTCCTGAAGTCTTTCTACACGTAAGCTCAACCAGCCATTGCGGCCAATTGAAAGGACGCTACATTTCACGTTGCCCCACACTAGTAGAATCTTAGAAGTCAAATCACCTGGGTGCCAATAATTCATATGTGCGCTGGTCAGAAGACTCCTTGAGGTCAGCAGGAATGGTTGTCCACCTGGTAGGACCCTTTCTTTAAGCATCATGATTCCTACTTGGACCAAGACTCAAGCCAAACAACCGGAGCTACTGTGGATGGACGAATTCCTGCACCACTTGGAAACCATGGGAAACCATGTTTCATTGGTATTTACAGGGGAATCATCATGTCAGGGTTTCTTTGGCGGTGCAGGATTTCGTCCATCCACAGTATGACCATGGCTCATATCTTACCCCTCCTCCCACGTTGCCATGGCACTCGTGGGAGGGCACCTGGACCAGTTTCCTCTTGGGACCTGTGAGTCGCCATGTGAGCTGGTGGCTCAAAATACGATCGGAGGGGCAAACCGCAGGTTTTGGGTTCCCAGGTTTCCACTTACCGATCGGGCAACCCATTTTGGAATTCCGGCGTTTTGAGCAACAGCCATGGTAGCTGGTGGGAGGGTAATACTTCGACATAAAGAGATTAACAGGTGAGGGGTGTTTGAATTCTCCCAGACAAGCGCACCCAGCAATTTTCGGGTAGAAGAAAGTTCTCGAGCTTTAGACCCGGTCGTATGCAAGGGGCCGGTGTGAAGCGCTCTGATCCTGTCTAGCTATCCGTTGGGAGAGCCAAAGAGCTGGGGGTATCCAAATTTGAATTCCAAACAGAGAGCCAAGGAGCTACCAGGGGGTTTGTAAGTACATGGTGGTTGTGTTGCTGTTTTCCTTTTCCGCCTGATCCACAGTGGATGGCTAGATGATGGCCTTATGCATGGAGGTAGTAATCAAATCTCGTTGCGGGGGTGAGCAATGCTGAGACAGATCGAAACCCTGCCCTCCCCTTTAAAAGCCTAGAATTTGAGGAGGGGGTTGGCCAGGTCCCCATCTTTCTAAGGGTTGATTCCCCATTCGTTTCAACCATCGTTCTTTTCAAAAACCGGATCCGTTTTCCCTGGGATTCTGGAGGTTTTCTAGAAAGATTCAGATCCCTGGAAAGAATGGAACTGGAAGCTACCCCTTATCATGACCCAGGGTCTTGGGAATGAAAGTGTTTGTAAATCCCCCTGAATTGGAAGGTAGGGATGGTTTCTGGGGTCCTTCCCCTATTTTTTGTGGGGAGCTACCCCTCCCCATCCTTCCCTGGAAAAAAAGAAAATCCGGCGATGACCGGAAGGAGATCGGATCGCCGGTGCGGTGGCAAGGACGGGGATTCGGTCGGTCGGGGCGACCGAAAGCTCGGACGCCGGCTCGGCCGGGCCAAAACCTTCCATTTGCTTCATGAAAGAAGCTCGGAACCCCAAAAAAACGCGAAAGGCTTCCATTTGCTTAAATGATTATGTGTTTCTTGTTCCCCTTGTTGGTTTTCAAGGGAATCCATCACTGCTGGAAATTATCTTATTTTTTTTCTG